ACACAGAATGAAAACCTTTCAGGGAGCAGAAGCAGGAAGGGCCTTCGGGCGGGTTTTATTGGCTGGCAGTCGGATTACAAGCGCCCGGTGGCCGTGGCCAGGCCGGGGGAAGGGGTGAGGGAGGCCCAGGGCAGGCCGGGCCCTACAGCAGCAAATCCTCCTCCGTGAGCTGCCGCTTCAGCCAGCTGCCCCGCAGCCCCGCTGGGAGCACAGGCAGGTTGTTCCCCTCGGGGAAGCCGTCGCCGAGCCCTGAGCCGGAGGCTGCCTCTGCTTCTCCTGCAGGGTTGGGCCCTGAGCCGGACTCGTCGTCTGAGAGCGGGAATATGTCGCCCAGCTCCTGGTGCCGCTTCATCCTGCAAGGCAGAGCGGCAGGTGGTTTATTCCACCTTCCTTACGTGGTTTATGGTGTTTTAAGTGAGCACAGCAAGGCCTCGCGTTCCTGCAGGTGAGCCAGGACAGCAGAGACAGGAACACCGTACATTTCTGTGCGCCAGCCTTAATGACAAACGTGCAGCAGGTGAACTTACAGGGACAGGTCTGCCGTGGGAGGAAGGATCCTGTTGGCTCCACCAGTGGGCATGTAAAACCAGGGACCCTGCTCTTCGATGCAGTTAGCAGACCAGGCGTCGGGCCGGCACCTCACTCTCTTGTACCTTGCCTTCTGCACTGGAGCACCTGGTCAGATCACCCACACGTTATTCACCAGGACCAGGACATTATTCATCAGGAGTGATTAGCTTTATGTAAAGCCTAAAGGAGTGTAAGAAAGTAATCTGCGTGGCCCTGAATGCTCAGCTGCTGGAAACTAACCCTGAAGACTTTTTTTTAAATGGCTGCTGATATCCTAAGTGACCTATTTGCTACCAGAGGCATCAGGTGCATCTCACACACAGCTCTGGGAAGTCCACGGGAATTAGAAATGGAAACCCCGTGGGAAACCACTGCCTCATGCCAACATCACATCAGGACTTATCCCCAGCTCAGAGCACATCCACGGGGGACCCAGGGGCTCAGCCACCTGCAGCTCTCACCAGAGCTGGTAAGAGGTATGCCAAAATCCTCTGGGCACAAGCCACCCCCGCAGAGGGCTGGCTTCTGCACCTTCAATGTGATCTTTGGTGGGGAAGTTGGAGACTCCAGGTGTGCCAAGAGCTGCCTGCCACGGGAGCAGGTTTGGTGATTACATAGGCTCCTGGGCACACTGCCAGAGGAGAGAGGGTTCAGGTGTCTCCTAGACATGGCCCAGAGTTACATAAAGACACAGTTTGGGTTCTGATGCCACCCTTGGGTGCCGAATCAGGGCTGTCACTGAAAAGCTGGTCTTCAAAAAACACTAAAAGGAGAAAATAATGATGGCAAAGTAAAGAGAAAACCAGCAGCATTTCATCCTTCCTCCTGGTCTGATGTAATTAATTTGTTCTGAAGGCTCCTGGCACGTTCTCCCCACTGTATTTTTTCTTAGTTTCTTGAGAATATCTTCCTGTAATTACACTTCTCTATTGCTCTATATATTTCCATAATGTTCTAGATGACTTTCAGCTACCTCCTACCCTCTTCTGTAAGAGAAAAAAAGATCTCATGGGTATCATTTCCTGCTCCTTTTACAGCATATTCCTTTTCATACTTATTTTCTTCTCCTAGCATATTATTAAGAAGGTTTTTAATAATAACAGTGGCAACAAAATAAACAACTGCAGCTGAATTAAAAGCAGGCTATCAGCTCAAAGATCAGCCTCCAAGAGGTAGATGCATAATGAAGCCTATCACTATCCCAGCCTAGGGTTTGGGGGAAAATTACACTTCACGTGCTTCAAACATGCTTCTCTCTTCCAAGAAACAAATCCACAGGGTACCTGTCATCATGAATCAACATTTCCGTTTAGCTGTTTTAGTGCTGCATGTTGCAATCTTGTACCGAATAAACCGTTTAATTTCCTCATACTAGTTTCACCAAGAAAGTAGACCCTGGTAGTTATGACATAGGAGCTGTTACATGCTCTGTCTGTAACTACATAACTGGGTAGCAGCATGTAACCAGACCACTATGAAAGGGCCAGTTAAAAAAAAAGTCCTGAAATACATGGATTGAACATATACCCATAAACAGCAACTCAATTTATGAAATCTTTTTCTCATCAGGGCTGGGAAAGGGACACAGAAATGCTCTACTAGCAAAAAAAAACACTTTTTCTTACCATTCCCCCTCCAGAAAATGAAATGTTAGCAAAACAGGTTTGTGGGTAGATCCCATTATCCCTAGAAGAAGGTCAGTTTGAAACATTTGGAGGCTGCCTGTTTGGCCTACACTGCATAGCCAAGAAAGAGGATTACCGAGAGAACAACCACCCCATTTTACCTTGTGCTGTGGATCCCACAAAGAGGATTAAACAAATAGCCAGGAAAATCCTCCCGTTACATCTGATAAGGAGCTGCATTTTGGCCGGCATCCCCCTGCTCACCACCAGCCTTCACCACAGCTTCTCACTCCAGAAATACAGTGGGGCAAGGAGATCAACTTTTAGAAAAGGTTTCCAAAACCTCAAACCCAGCCCATAACCTGCGTCACTGCTTCCTGATTGAGGGGAGTGAGACATCTACAGAAAAGCCCAGCCACCACTCTGGCCTCCCGGCCTTCATCACATCAAACCAATACAAAAAAAAAAAACAAAACCACTGCCTCCAGTTTTGCCAGAGGAAAAAAAGCAAACCCTGGACCAGCCAGCTCAACCGAAGGCACGTGTTGCTGGCAGCTTGGTGTCCAGGCGTGGACAACATCCCACCCAATGTCTGCCTGATGCTAGAGGGCTCCAGGCTGTTTGCTGATTCCTCTGGAGAGAAAAAGCAACACTTCATGTTCCCCACCTTCCAGCCAGCTGGGTTTTGGCATTGGCACCATTTTTCCTGCCTCAAGCCCGTGTCAGGCCACTGGGAGGGTTAGGAGCCACCCCTTAGTAATCAGAGCAAGTTTCACCAACTGAGAAATCATCTTTTTCCACAAAGGTAAATGATCTCATGAATCTCAGAGCTTTTTTGTTGTTGTTGAAAGCAGGATCTTAGATATTCACAGTAGAAGTGAAAAAAATTGAAAAAATGTAGAGAGTAGATCCTGGTAGAAGCACATCTTCTCCTTTCTGAAAGGCCATGACAAATTTGCCCAGCCCCAACAGCTGATCTGGGGCAGCCAGCTACCCAGGGAGCACAGCAAAGGATTTGAACAGCATGTGGCTCGGCAGGGAGCCCAGCTGAGAAAGCTATGAAAGCCCTTCTGTGGATGTATGGAAGCTGCCTTTCAGCTAGTCCATACGTTTTGCTTGCCTTTCAGTGAGTATTAAACCAGGCTCAAGTTCACTTAAGAATGAATTACAGACAACAAGGTCATCTAAGTGGTGGGGGTTTTTCTTAGCCATACCATTAGCTGCTGGATTAACTGGGGCACTGACATATGGGCCTAACGTGCTGCCAGCACCTTCAGTGAGTCTGCAGCTGATGGTGTAAGTTGTCTGTGGTAAATCTATTTTTACGTGGTGGAAAGTCCATGGAGGCCCCCGGTGGGGACACGGGGCTGAGCAGTGACTTCCCCGGGGCACAGTACTCCCCCAAAACCCCACCAGCAGCTCTTTAGGCTGAGATTTACTCACATGGATGCAGTTTATTGTGAACCATCACACACAGGGGTTTTCCAGCACAGGAAAAACAGGAGGCCCAAACCAACCAGCTGCAGAAGAACTCATGTGCAGTGATATTCCTACCAGCCTCTCTTCTACTGTGCATTTTTTGCATTAGCTCTTTTTTCTTTCCTTTCTTTCTTTCTTGTTTGTTTTTTTTTTTGAGAGGGGTATGCTCAGCCTCAATATGAGTGTGTGTGGGGTGGTGATCAGCCTCCACCCACTGAGCGCTGCGGAAACTGTTCCTGCAATAACACCCCACATTTTCCACTGGTCACGGGCACACACCAACCCCTTCCACACCCCTCTGGCCTGAGCAAACAACTCCCCGTGCAGGGGAAAGTACCTCCTCCCCACTGGTATTTCTGCCCTTCATACCAGCCCAGGATTTTTTCCCCCAGGATGCAGCCAGAGTGGTGCCCCCCAGCGAGCACGGTCATGGAGGGCCAGGGATCCTGTGGGAGCAGGGGGAGCTGCTGGGGGCAGGTGGGAGGTGCAGCACCCCCATATCTGGAGGGGGATCGCACAGAGCTCAGTTATCTGTCTCCTACCATCAGCCAATGGGGGAACTGGTAGAGCTGGCAGTTTTGCCACATGCTTTTGTTATTTTCTTCTATGTCAGCGATGCACCTCAGGAAATGAGATTGCTTTGGTAACCATGGGAAGACAAAAGCAAATTTTCCATTCTCCCATCTCACATACACCTGCAGAAAGGGGGCCAGAAATCTATGGGGACCATCAGCCTGTGCCCATCTCCTCCTGTCCTGCTGTGCTCCACTGGTGCCCCCAACCCTCTGTGCTTGGCAAGCAGAGCTTTCCACCTTCCTATGAACATGGAAGTGAGACTGGAGACCTGGATCGGAGGCAACGTGGGTTGTGCAAGTCTTAGGAGTAAAGCATGCCCCTTCTGGAGTGCCATGGGATTCCCTGGGAGCTCTGTACAATTATTTACTTCTCTGTAAGCCACTCAGTGTATAAAATGCAAATAATCAGCACAAGCTTAAAAATCTCATCTTGAGCTAGAGGCCACAAAGTGCTGAAAGTTAACTTTCTTTTTTAAACAGAGAACAGTTCATAAACTATACTCTATTCAAACACTAACCTTGAAACATGCTATGGCATAATTAGCAGAGTTAGAGAAAGACAGGTGTTTTATTTTAATAGAGAAGAGAAGAGTAACTCTACCTAGGTCAGCTACCTCAAATCCACCTCCCATAAATTGATAGGAAGGTTCCTAAGGTCATACTCCTCTTGCATAGAACCTGCATCTGTAGACTGGAAGATCAAAGGGCCCAAAAGAATAATCCTATAAAAGGAAGAAAATAAATGAGTAGCAGGTATTGGAGAACTCAAATTTCTTACAGCTAGCACTCTGAAGTGCTGCCATTATTTTCAAATCACATGCAAAGCAGATTAAGAGCTTTGCATTTTTCTGAGGCATTAATTCAGGGAGCAAGGGGCAGGCAGAGGGAGCAGGCTGCCTCAGCACTGTGTGCCCTGCCCCTCAACCAGACACCTGGGACTAAAAATATCCAGGACTAGCCCCAAAGCTAGAGTCAATGCCTCAAAATTTAAAGTGATGAACTGCTACGTAGTCGTAGCTCTCAGGGCCATTTTATCGCCCAGTTGGCTTCAGGAATAAGGAGTAATTTGGTAACATCACTGAAGGGGAACCACATCACAGGAGTGCCTGGTAGGACATCCATCATGCTGTCAAGGGAAGGGGATGCACAGTAAAAAAATTCCCAGTGGACCTATTTCAGCAACCCAAAGGGATTTTCAGCCAATTCTTTGGCAAACACCAACCCCTGCTGTGTTTTTACCCAGATAAACGCTGCTGGAGCAGTTCAGCCCAGAGGATCAGCACAACATAGCTGCATCAGGTTGCCCTCTCTGCTGCTTTTCCTTGCCTTGCAACACAGGTTTGCTCTTTCTTGCCTGTATTTCCAACAAGGAGCAAGCTGGGTGGGTGGGTGGGTTCCTGTGGGTGCATGGGCACCCAGGGTCCCAGCGCTTATCAGCAAAACAGGCATGCGAGGTGGGGGGGGTCCTGATAAGGAAGTTTCTTATTCATAACTGCTCAGAAATCAGATAAACTGTAACTGCTGCAGGGTCATTCTGCTCTCAGGGATGAGGTTTTCCCCTCTCCCAGCCTGTGGGAGCTCCGTCCTGGCTTTGGGGAGGGGTCCAGGTTGAGCCCTGCACCCCTCAAACACTTCTCCCCAGTGGAGCAGCAAAGCCAGCAGTCAGCTGGAGCAGCTGGGTGTCCCAAAGCACTGGGCTTTGCTGGTGATGCTCAGCTCTTTATTGCTCTGCTGGGGAAATGGAAATACGTATTTTGCACAGGTCACTGTTCCGAAGAGCAGCCAGTACAGAAAAGGCTTAATCTGTTAGGAGCAGAGCTGGGAAAGGGAGGGAAAAGAGAATGATGGCAACAGTTGAGAGAAGGCAGAGGTCAGACAGTGAGTGAAGGGGAAGGGCAGCTGGGTTGAACATGAGGAGTATTTTTTTGCCTATGTTGTCCTGTGGTAAGGTAGGACAGGTTTCTTCCCCAACACTTGCTGCTGAGGTGGAACAAGATCCATCAGACCTGGACATCCAACAGGCCCTGAGAATGTAGATCCATCTCTGAGATAATCCATGAGGTACCCTGTTAGACATGCTGAAATCACCCTAACCCTCCTCAGCAGCAAGCTCACCCCAGGCAGGCGGCCCAGCTCATGGGCTGTCACCAGCTCAGGTTTGACCAACTAACCTCTAGGGACTGAAGAGCAAAACCATGTCCTGCCTCAGAACAGCCAAGAGCAGGCATTCAAGGAAGGGAGGTTTGGGTCGACCTGGGAGGGCTTCTAAATACAGCAATCCTGAGCAAAAAGAAATTCTTGACCTGGGTCATGCCTGAGCTCAGCACCTGGCTGGTGTTCCCCTGTGCACCCAGGGCACTGTGGCATGTGCATGTCCATGGCATCGCTCAGCCTCTCGTGCCACCACCTCTTGCCTCCAGTGGCAGTATCAGGACCTGGCCCATGAAGATAAGATTCAGATCTTGCAAGAAATCATTAATGCTCACATGCATCACGTAGAAATCAGACGTTGGCTGCCATCTAGATTGCACAGAAGAACAAGCTCCCTGGGTTTTCCCATGATGATGGTCAACAAGTGCATGGGGAGAGATCTTTCCTAGAAAACCACAGCTGCATCAAGATCAAACGCAGCCGCTGACTGACAGGAAGCTGCCAAGAGCCTTTCCCTATCAGTCATCTCCTCTCTGCCAGAAGTGTGAACTGAGCAGTGGGCCTGTACTTCAGGAGGAATAAAACAGCTTTCCTTCATGCTGGGAAGTGTGATGCTTTCTGCTTCCACACGCTGAAGCCTGTTCCAGGAGGAGGTGTTGGCTGGCAAATTCAGGACTATAGTTCAAGAGCAACAACTCATTAAGGCATGACACAGCAGCCAGGCTCTGGTTTCTGATGAGGGAGACAATTCCTTCAATAAAACCTTATCCCAGAGCAGCACCAGCTCCACAGTGGAAGTGCCCAGGAGTCCTCTTCATGCAGCCACTCTTTGGGAAAACACCCTGGAAAATACAAGGAATTAACTAGGGAGATAAGGACCACAGGACAATTGCTGGTTCGATCTCTGTTACCTGGGTATTAGACACAGCTATTTTTCCATAAGATGGTTTCTCCAGCACGGGACAACCTCACACGAGCGAGCTGCTCAACAGCTTTTAGGTGCTTTTTAGCAACCCTGGGCTCCTCCCCCATAGATCCATGCCAAGC